AAAAAAAATTATGATTATAGTAAAATGAATATCAAAAAAATTTTACTCGATTATCGTAGATTTCTTCACGTATGCGCCTTTTAATATGCACATATGAATGGATGTACTCCTCAAAGCAAAGTATGCGAAATGAAATAATGCCAACAAAGTAATTGAGGCACAAGTTTGAATGAAATTTGGACTTTCTGTGAATATATTGCAGACGAACGTGACAAAGTCGTTATTTCCATAAAACCAACGAAAACAGATCACATAAAAAACCATGCATCTGACATTCGCAATGAATTCAATTTTTTGTTTTTTTCGATGAACATTAGAAAATTTGGCACGATTTGGTTAATTTTGCCATCACTCAGCCACACTCCTCCTCAGCAAGTAAGTAGTGTGTAGTTGCCAAACGCTTTTTTGGATTGCACACGACAGAGGCACACTGAATACCAAAAGCTTTCATCTGCTAGCACATTCGAACATCACGTGTGTTATTCGACTAGCTCTCAGACTGTCTACTTGATCGACTAATATTGTATGTCGAGTAGTAAATATTTGCTTGCTGTGAAACTTATAAATTTAAATATGTATTCAAATTAGTATGCATCTACATATGTACATATCGCACACCATCTTCAAAAGAGGCTTAACTCAAAAAGCACACCCGAAAATAGAACTGTGTGTGGATGGTACAGATCCAGCGCAATTAATATAAAAGCAGGTATAACGGCAGTTTTAAGGTTAGAGACTATAAACAAGAGGAAAAAATCTATTTTCAGTAAGGGGAGGTAAATCCTACGATCCGATTTATGTAAAACAATCGACCTAATGTTTTTAAGAGTTGTCTCCCTTTTGAAGATGGTATGCGATATGTGTGTGTGTATGTACAACATATTCCGCGCTTTTGTCTCTGTTGCTAAGTATATACAAGTTTATTTGCGGTGCTTGCTGGAGATTTGGAAATGTTTCGTTTATAAATAGTTCACATGAATATCACGTGCGTCGATGGTTCTCTAATACTATTAGTTAGAAATAAAAGCCGCACAGTTTTGCCTGTGTTATCAGAGTTAGCAATTTAGTAAATTTATTAGGTGGTTCGTTCGTTTGGCGATTCTATCGAACCGATTTTAAAACAAAGAACACCATTGCAAAGATATTATTCTGTAGATGAGACGAGTTTCAATATAAGTTCAAAACTACGGCCGAAAACGTCGTTTAAAAATTTCCGAATTAGCGTATAGTTATTGTTGCAACCAGTTCAATTTGAGTTGTTTTCGCATTTTGTTTTATTTCGTATTTGAAATTAAATTTTATGCATGATAGTGAATAAGACAATAGAGTGAAGGCAAAATTAAATGTAAGTCCGAAGATGAAAACAATGAGAAATACATAAGAATTAGGGTAACTGAAAGGGTAAGAATATTTATTGAAACTTTTCGAAAAGAATCGAAATAAATTCAGTTATAAGAAATTTTGTTATCGAAAATTATCAAGCTAACGAAATTTATCAAATTATCGAAGTTTATAGTCAACGAAATTTATCACATCGAATTATTCGCATCGAATTATTCAAATTGATCAATGTTTATTGTGTAGTCAAAATTTATAGACACAGAAAATTATTTGCAAACATTTACGGATAGTTATGGAGCGTCGGTGTCCATTCGAACGACATGGCCAAGCCTATGGAGCCGCTGTATTTTAATTCGCTGCACTATATCCATTTATAAAGCTCGTTCAGCTCATCGTTCCATCGTCTGCGGTACTCGCCGTCGCCAACGCGTAAAGGCCCGTAAATCTTCCGCAAAATATTTCTCTTGAATACTCTAAGCTGCTACCATTCAGTAGGGTGGACAAGTGTTCCCTCCATAATTAAAGTACGTTCTGAACATCGGTCACTAGATCGGCATGGTTGTTTTTACAGGAGTATGCCCTGGCCGTGAAACCTTCCGTAAGTCGCCTAACTCTCTGGTAAAATTTTCGGGCATTCTTCCTGTCGGCCAGCATTTCAAGCTCTTCGTTCCACTTCTGCCGTATGTCGGTTTGTAGTAAGAGTGCTCTCTGAGAGTAGGTGTGTGAGTCGAGTAGCGAATGCATCAATTGCATTGCTTCGCTTCTTCACTGGAGGGGTTTTTACGTGGCGGGTCCCAAACCCAGCAAAAATATGTACATCGTGATTTTTCTTAAATATATGTTTCGTGCTTTAACAAAACTCATATACATAAATCAAACTTTCAATAAAGCTTTATAGAGATTTATTTTGGAACGAATTTCCGTCATCCCTTGTCGAGTTTGGTTTATTGAGAGCTTTTGAAAATTCATCAAATTTTCATTAAAAGTTTTAACCTTGGCACAGAAAATTAATAAATCAATGCTAGTTTTTCTAAATTGCACATGTTATATGAAAAAATCCACAAAAGCAAAAAATATTAAAAATCATTGCGTATTTTCAGCCGCTTAAAACTTGCACTTCATTACACTAAAATTTAACAAGCTATAAAACCCAACAATTCTATAAAAATTCAAACTAAAAAGTTCTATATTTTAATGAAAATTTATTGAATTTTCCTAAGCTCTGTATAAAATTTGAAAGTTAGATTTATATGGCTTTGGTTAAAGTACGGCCATATTTTTATAAAAAAGATAAAAAACACATTTAGTTTTAAAAATCTTGCAAATATTCAATAAAAATCACCATGTACTAATTTTCGCTTCCCACTGTATATACAAAATTCGTAAAAAACGTTTAAACGTTTAGCTTTTTATTTTTTAAGTATATCAATCAGAAAAAAAAACAAAAGAGTTTCCTGGTTCTGTTTATTTCAATTTTTTATATGTTGACGATTTTTACATGCAAATAACGATTTTTGAGAACCAAACTGACGATTTCTCACTTCAGTTACCTGACACGCTTTCTTTTTTATTTCATTTTAATTTGCACAAATTTACATATGTACATATGTATAAGCACACTATTTAGTTTGCTCGATTTGTAAACAAAGCTTATCAGCAGTGAAAAATATACTATTGTGAACAACCTAAACGAGCGAAATTCACAATAGCGCTATTCTTCATCGAATGAGCGCAGTAATATCCAATGAAAATTCGTTCGATCAGCACTTTGGACCTCAATCGAAGATCGAATGCAACTCATAATAGAGGCCTTATGGAAAAAATTCCTTCCTGAAGGCGTTTAGAAACGCTCCTCATTTTGCCGACTGGGGTATGTAAACATATTCATTCCTTAAGTCTATTATTTTTGTCAATTTCCTTAGTACCACAAGGACCTAATTCAATTCCAACCATTTTTACATGTGGGTAAATACATACATACATATGTACATAAAAATGTATCAAACTTCGCCAGTTTAATGCCAATTCTATGTAGGCATCAGTAATCAGTAGAAGAAAAAGAGGTGCACATAAAAATCGCTGCCTATTTTCAGGCGCACATATATATGGATTTTGCTATAACAGTCAAAGCCTAAAACAAGTGACATATCGTGAGTTACAGATTAATTTCGGTATCAAACAAACAAATACACAACATACATACATACATACATACCCAGCAGCCATACCCAGCCAGTGCTTGAAATATGGCCATACGTGAAATGCATTTCTTGCAGGACGATAATTTTCATAAAACGCTTGGATCACCGAATATCGCTCCATGACTAAATGAAAAAATAGAATAAAAAAAATAGGTAACATGTAGAAAATAGTTGCTGTCAAAGATTTGCTCTGGGGTGATCACTCCATAAAACCGCCATGCTTTACCACCATGCGCTGAAATTTTAGAATTTTTTTTGCTTCCGGACCAAAGTTATTACTTTTACGGAACACAAAGTTTTTGAAACGGTTGGAGCATGCACACAAATTAGGCTTACGTTATTTAGATTGGCTTTTTTTGCGAAATGTGGCAAATATGTTCACTGATAGGGAAGTGCCTATCCAACCACATGTCCTGCGCTAAATTTTTGTATGAATTTGATTTTTTTTTTCAACCATGCCCTCCTATCGCATTTCGTGAATTGTGGGGATGTCAGCCTGGTATTTTTTTTATGACATCCAGCACTTGGAGATAGGTACCTCGCTTAAAAAGGGTCCGAAAATGCCGTGTACATATATCCGTAAAAAATCTTAGTCCTTGTTGCGTTCGGTAGGGTTTCGTGGCGGGTCTCAAGTCAAGCGTAGAAAATATTGCTGGGCGTTTTCCTGCTCACATTAGCTCGCTTCCAAACTGGTGTTTGGTTTCTACCCAAAACTAGCCTGGAGCTTTAATTAGCGGCAGTGTAATTCTTGTCACCAGCGCAGAGTACGCCTGTTTGGGTGAATAGATGTACATTAGGGTGCATCGAAAAAAAAGTTGGGGGTTTTCCACGATAATTATAAAACTCATGATATTTTAAGAATTTTTCCAAAGTAGTTCGGAAAAATAATAAGACTTACGTGAGCTAGATTGATTTGAGAATATCTTAAAAAAAATGTCAAGCATTTTCATGCAAACCTTTTAAGCAAAGCTCTCCTATCATCTGAGGGGATTAAAAATTTTATTTATAAAAAAAAAATCGATTTTTGGAGCTATTTTAGGAAAATTTAAAAATTTTTCAAATATATCCTTTACATCTTCGATTGGGAAAACAGTACCAATTATTGTGCATGGAGAGTGATGCACCCTAATGTACATACATACATATTTATGTACATTAGTCTGTGCCATATTTGATAGACAACATTTTTTTTTAGCTACGAAGCATATGCTTCGGATAGGTTTGTTTCTTGAGGCAAAGAAATTAAAAAAATCGGATAACGGACATACGAGCTTAAAGTCTCGAAAGTTGCGCAAATTCATGGAGTTATACATGAAATCAGTCAGTAAAAAAGCTTATTTATATAACATTACTTAATGTATAATTGCTCTCTTATCTTAAATGTGGCTAGAAATTTCAAGTTTTTAAATTATAGAATTTTTTCTTGTAAATCGGCAGTTTTCTAGATTTTTTTCTTAACTACGCTTCCGTATTTGCTTTAGATAGCTCAGTGTTCTTTTCCTTGAGTGGCTTTAACTCATGAGACTTCACTGCTTCTTCATCATTCCATGGTTGCACCTTAGCCGTTCCAAAAAATACGAACAGTAGATTTCCAAAGAAACTAATAGATGCCGCTATGAAAAATATAACACGCCACTGATCAGGATTTTTCTGTAGAATAGAGTTTTTAAATAAACAACTGAATCTCAGAAATCGAATGTTAATTACGAACCGCATCTGTAACAACGTATCCCACCACTAATGGTGCAATGGCGCTCATCACTTGAGAACTCGCGTTGGTTATGCCAACTAGTGTACCGGCGAAATTGGGCGTCAAGTCAATATGATTCACTTGGAAACCCAAATGCGTTGCAGCGCTAATACCCACAGTCAATGTCAATAATGTAACAGCCAAATCAACCTGATCGCGTGTCATATAACCCAACCAAATAAGCGTCACCACCGGTATCCATAGGCCGATGGTGTTGAATAGTTTCCGACTTGCAGTTGCGCTGATGTGATTATTCTTCTCCAAGAAGTTTGCGATTGGACACAACGCCAAGCCCAAAAGAAACATTGTCAAGTAGGGGAGCGCCGAGAGTAGCGCATTACTCTTTATATCCATGCCAAGCACACTCTTCATATATGAAGGAATTTGAGTTAGTAGCGTCCAAAAAACCCACGAATTAGCGCAATGTGACACCAAGACCACGAAAAATGGACGTGAGGTTAATATTCGCCGCCATGGCACAGGCAATGCGCCTTTGCTTTCTTCTTGCTTCGCATTGCTCTTCAGAGACGCTTCAATAAGTGCTCTTTCAGCCGTACTAACTTTCCGGCATTCACTTGGAGAATTTGCACCCCACAAAATCCACGTCACCGACCAAAGGAGACCCACACCGCCAGGTATATAGAAAAGGCTAGGCCAACCCATGCTCGAGGAAGCTAGCACACCACTCGCTGCAAGTATAATTACAGTGCCCAGTTGAGCGCCCGAATAACTGTAAGCAGCTAGAGAGCTACGTTCCTCCACGGGCGACCATTTAGCGACGAGTGTATGTATTGCGGGCATCGTAACGCCTTGACCCAAACCTTGGAGGAAACGTAGGAAGCAAATTAACTTCCAGCCACCAATACTGGCGCCCAGTGGCGTCAGCAGAGCCATAACGCTGGTAATAAACAAGCTGGACAAAAGCAAGACTTTACCGCCGAAACGACGCGCCAGTATGCCGCCGGGCACTTGTGTGAATATATAGCCACAAAAGAAGCTGCTGAGAACGCGCGATTTTATCTTTTCCGACCAGTGGTATTCCTGCGCAGTAAATGAGAATATGTAGTATTAAATGAACATATGGAGCATATTAGCAAATTTTTAGTTGCTAGCATAAAGCTTACTGGAAAGTCTGGATTCGCTGCTTTATTATCCATCATGGCTACAACTGCTACAGAGAGATTGACGCGCATCGCAAATGCGGCAGCAAAGCCAATGCAAATCATAAAACATTGAAAATGGCGCCGCCCGAATGTGGGCACTTTTACTGCAGAAAATAATGGAAATAATCATTACTAAAATATTATGATTGCACAAATGTATTTGTAAAAATTCAGAGATAAATAAAATACGTCTTCAAATTTTTTAAATAAATAAAAAGATATTGTGAAAAATTGCCCTGTCGCTTTTTAAAGGACAATTATTGCAGTATAAGTTTTCATAAAATTCTTTATAAGGTCTTATCGCCGATACGGTGTGCAAGTCGCAAGTCCTTCATGCACCAACTGATTGGACCATGTCAGAGTGGCTTTAAACCTTCAGGTGCAGTCATCCATTCAGACCATTTTCAAAACACGTCAAAAGCTATAGAAGACATAAATAAATCGGTAAACACCACACACAAAAAAAGAGAATCCCACGCGGATGTAGAAAATGTGATTCACTTTCGAAATAGAACGATGCTAATGACGTACACAGTTGATACTGGCATCATGGGCCTTAAATCCAGAGGCGCCAGTTTAGCATATTCACGCTTTGAAAAAGAGGCAATTTCGAGCCTAGTTTCCGGACAACATAAAAACGTTGGCTGTGGTCGATCGCCATGCAATGGCAAACCTCTGAGTGTATTGAGTCATGAAAAACAGCTTCTTATAAAAAAATGCAATCCACGTTCGGTGTAGGCTCCTCTCCTTTGAGTGACAACATTAAGGCGCACGCCACAAATCAGAGCGGAAGCTCGGCCAAACACACACATATTGTGGAAGCGCCAATCTGTGTATCTATTATTATTATTGTATACGGGTGTTTCCAGCGGAAAGTTTACCGCGAAAAAAAATTCATATATCTAATTTATTTATGGACCAATTCTTCTTAACCGACTTTAAGCAAAGGAGGAGTTTATCAGTTCGTCGGAATATTTTAGTTTTTTTTTTTTTGTTTTATGTATGTTACCGCATAACTTTGGACCACATCAACTAATTTCGATAATTTCCGATTTTGTATCGGAAAGGTAGTATCTCAGAGGTGGTCCCATCTGGTTTAGATACGATCATTGGATCGTGAATAAATAACGGTACTCCTAAATTTTTATATGAGAATTGAAGTCGGTTTTATCTTTTGCTTAAAAATTACTTGTTTACTAATCAAAACTCACAATCAAAATTAAACATATCCAGCAGGGTGGCATGCACATATTCATTCAATTAGCTCCCCACTAGTCGCGCAATTAGGAATTGAAATTTTGTATGTTAAATCGAGCGCAACACTCTCTCTCAGTTTGACAATTTGTCTGCATCCAATATTTATAATCTTGAATTCTGCGGTTTATGACGACACACCGGACTGCTCTCTCTTTTGTTATCAGTTTCATAAGGGTTACGTAACTGCGATAGATAATAATTCTAATAGTATGACAGATGAGTTTTCTAATCTTAACGTAAAAAAAAACCCGATTCGGTGCTGTTTTTTTATTTAAATAGATATTTACATCATATCATAAGCACAAACATTTTCAAGTATTTAATGAAGTTACAGGCCACTGCGAACTTCATACACAGATAACACGGCGTATGAGTAACATTATTCTTATTTTGATGCACATAAGTATACACGTATACACATATATGTATGTACATGAGTAATCTAAATAACGCTATCTAGTAATATCATTGCTTTAGAGAACTTACATTTTGGCACGCTTGAGGAATTATCATTTAACACCATTTTGATGAAAGTTAATTAACGTTAATTATATGAAACTATGTCTCAACTATGTGTTTTATTAGGAGGAAATGCACTTCTTAACAGCTCTGTAGCTGCTAAGCTTCTAAATGAAAATTTTAAGATACCTTAGTGAGGATTTGATAGCTCATCAACCGCATTTTGGCTGCAATATAAAAAACCACACATTTGCAAAAAGATTATTTCATAAGATAAAACTTAGCTATAAAATATAACAAAATACATATAAATATTTAAATAAAGGTACACAGGCATATACATATGTATGTACATATTCATATGTATTCCAAAGCAAAATATAAAAAAAACAAAGAATTTCGCCGAGAGGTAAACATTATCGAAGGACTGCTTGTTTCAGTTAAGTTGAAGATTCTATGGAACTTCTTACTTAAGCCTATTCAAATAATGACTGATATGCTTGCATAGTATGAGTATTATCGCAATCAGTTGATGGAAATTTTTTAATCTTATAAGAAGAGTTTTGCAGGTGTAAAATATTTTTAGAATCTAACTCACTGAATCTTGATGGATATCGAGAGATATAGTAATGAGTGGAGTTTGATAGGAAAGAACACTGTGTAACAGTGAAATAGAACTTTTTCTCCTAAAATCGGTTGAAGATTGGTTCGAATAATTTACCAAACTGTGTTTAAAATTTCTATGACAACCTTAAATTCTAAACATCGCAGGCTAAATGGTTTCTTTAATGGCTTGAGCAAGATTAAAGAAAAAATATGGAAAATGTTTGAAACTGGAGATTTCTGAGCTGAATCTAAAGTAATTTTGCAAGGCAATTTCGAAAAATTATTTACTTTTGCCGTCATATCTTTGGGATTTATAATTGGATCTAAAAGCATGATATATTGATATTCTTATCTCGAGGAGACTTAGTGTGATGCGGTGAATTTTTTTCCTTGTACAAAGTACCGAGAGGAGGTAGAGCCCTTCATGTTAAACCAGCTGGCCTATAAGCCTTTCCTCTTCCCTACTAAGCCTCTGTAAAGATGTCTCGAGACGTACATATATGGGGTAAGATGTTCAATTAATACAGCTCTACTGTGTAGCTCGCCTACAGCAATTAGTTTGGAAAATTCAAAGACCGCTGGAAATAAAGGAATTAGACATAGCAAGCGCTTTTAGCAGTGCCATATGCCACTATGCAACAAGTGTTCTCTCTCCACGCCTATGGATCTTCACGGCCGTTGCGTGCCCGATCTTACTTTATGGAACCTTAGTCTCATGGCCCACCCTCAATAAGTCAACAATGTTTAAACAGTTTAAAGGGGTATGAATAAGTACGGAGCGCTATGCCCCTCACCTAATGAAGCCCTGAAAGCAAATCTGATTTTGCTGGACGTATTTGCTCGAGAGATAGCCGTTATAGCAGCCTTAAGTCTTAGAGAGGCAAGTTCCTGGACTCAGAGTACATCCGTCCGCCACTTGAAAATCTTTGGCACGATGATGCCCATATCGATAGTTGCAAGTACTGACTACTTCGTACCATAAAATATTGAGACATCTGAATTTATACTCTCGAGTACTCGAGAGTAATCGTTTGCTCAGCATTTTGGTAAATATATGTCTACATTTTTTTCGATTCCTCTGGTGCATTGTTAAAAAAATATATCGTCGCTGTTTTGTTTGGGTATAAAAGTTCATCGTACTTGCAACACACAAGGATTTGTGCTAAATGTGTAATAGGGGTACACGTAAAATCGTAAGGAAATGAATATACACAATACAGATGTACTTTTATAGGGAATTCTTCCTGAACGCTACATGCCAATATATCTTTACCTTAAAGAAGCTTTGACATGGCAGAAATAAACTCGTAGGTCTGCCATTTAAACACAAATTTTGTGCTGAATAAATGTGTCAATTGTTTCCTCTCTCTAAGATTTTGCTTCTGACTTTACAGGGCAGTACCGGAAACTGTCTTTCAACTCACCACAATCAATTTAAATTAAATTAAAAAAAAATATACGGATATATAAGTTTCTTTTTAAAACAATGAAATGAATAAAAGAAAGTTAAATTGAAAAAGAAAAAATGTACAAAAAAGATTTTTAAAAATTAAATGAATATAATTTATTTTTCTCTTAAAATAATAAAATCTACAAATTTAATTAATAAATAATAATTCAAAAAGGATGAAAGTAGTTTTTGAAAATTAAAAACAAATAAAAAATAATTCTAAAAATTAAGTTACATGCATTAAAAAAATATATATTTTTGTTTTTTTTTAAATAATACAATCTAAAAATTAAAAGAAAATTAAACTGAAAGAAAAAAATTTATTTAACAAAGAAAAAAATTTAAAAAGTTCCCCAAAATTTAATTTAATTTAAAAGAATAGTATTATTAAAAGAAAATTAGATCAAGAAAAGAAAAAAAATAAATAAATGAAACAAGTAATTTTTAAGTAGGAAACAGAACCGGCTTCAGTTCTCATATAAAAATTTAAGAGTACCGTTAAATTCTTCATGATTCAATGATTTGGATCTAACCCACATTAGTATGGAACCGCCTCTGTGGTACCACCCCTCTTCGAAAAAAAATAAAAAATTATAGAAAAATAGAAATAGATTAACGTAGTCCAAAGTTTTTTGGTAACCCGTTTTTTATTTAATTTCATTAAATTTGGCATCAATTACTACAAATGTTAGTACGTATTAAGATTATTATTAGTACGTAGTAAGATTATATAATAAAATCTGTATTAAAAATTCTTACATAGTAGCATCACAACGCATTTGTCTGTAATAACAACTTAAACAAATAAGACGACACATTCTTAAACATTTAAGAGACACTTAAATATTTCTTACGAACTAACGGTTATGTAAGTTCGCTAAAGCCCATCAAACTGCTAACTGAGACTCCCTTCTAGTGATTGGTACATCACTCGTCATTTCTACGTTAAGCGGCTTCATTTCATGACTCTTTCCCACTTTCTCATCATTCCACGGTTGCACTTTGGCGCTGCCGAATAAAATGAAGAGTAAATTTCCAAAAAAGTTTATACCACCCGCAATGAAAAATATTTTACGCCACTGGATGGGATTGCTCTAGAAGCGGATAGAAAGGGAAGAGAATAAATGAAAATGAATACGAAAAAAAAAATTTGCAAGCAAATTTAATTTAGCGAAACTTACCGTATCGGTGACAATGTAGCCCACCACTAACGGCGCTATGATGCTCGACACGTTGGCAGCACAATTGGTAAGACTTACAAGCGTGCCGGCAAAGTTTGGCGCCAAATCGATATGATTAACCTGGAAGCCCAAATGCAGTGTTGTGCTAATGCCCACAGTAAATGTCAACAGAGCTACGGCCAAGTCAGCCTGGTCGCGTGTCATGTAACCCAACCAAATAAGTGTCACCATTGGTACCCACTGGCCAATTGAATTAAAGAGTTTTCGACTAGTGGTCACACTCAAGCGGTTGCCCTTCTCTATGTAATCGCTTAAGGGACAGCATGCTAGACCCAAAACCAACATAGCAAAGTAAGGCAGTGCCGATAGTAGGGCATTGCTTTTGATATCCATGGCCAGGACACTTTTCATATAAGTGGGTATTTGTGTCAGTAGCGTCCAAAAGCACCAAGTCGACGAGCAATGTGTCACCAGTAACACCAAGAATGGACGCGATAGAAATATTTTCTTCCAAGGTACAGGCAAAGTGGATTTATCATCGTCCTGTTTAACGCTATCACGTAAAGATGACTCTATGAGAGCCCGTTCTGCTGCGCCAATTTTCGTACATTCGCTAGGTGAACTTGCGCCCCAAACTATCCATGCCACTACCCATATAAGACCCAAACCGCCGGGTATATAGAAAATACTGGGCCAACCCAAAGATGAGGAAGCGAGCAGACCACTCGTAGCCAACATAATGACAGTACCGAATTGTGAGCCCGAATAACTGTAGGTGGCCAATGAGCCACGTTCTTGCACAGGCGACCATTTGGCTAGCAAAGTATGCATCGAAGGCACAGTCACACCTTGACCAATGCCTTGCAGGAAACGCATGAAACAGAGCAACTTCCAACCACCAAAGTCCACGCCGATTGGTGTGAGTAGCGCCATGACGCTGCTAATGGATATGCTGCTGAGTAGCATCACTTTGCCACCGAAGCGACGCGCCAGTATGCCGCCAGGTATTTGCGTGCAAATATAGCCACAGAAGAAGCTGCTGAGTATGCGCGACTTAGTCTTCTCCGTCCAGTGATACTCCTACAAATGAATGTTTTCGTACAAAAGTTTTTTTTTTGCATTTTGCTACTCACTCGAAAATTCGGATTCGCCGCTTTGCTGTCCATCATGGCCACAATTGCTACCGAGAGGTTAACGCGCATAGCGAACGCTGCAGCGAAGCCCAAAAACATCAAGAGGCACTGCAAATGTCGCCTGCCAAATGTCGGCGGCAGCACTTTAGACAGCGGGGATTTATTAATATAATATCGTTTATAGAGCGCTGTGATTAAAGCAATTAGTTTACTTACATTTTGTAACGCTGGAAGAGCGCCCATTTGTTACCATATTGACGACAAGCTAATGCACGCTAACTTAACGCTGGAATTGCACGCGAGTTAACACTTCCTAACCGCTGTGTGTCGGTTAAGCTTCTGAATCTAATTAAAATGCTAAGTGTTGAACTGGAAGCGTAAAATGATAGCACCTTGACAGATATGTGTGTTATATATGTATGTACATACCCATCTAATGATAAGGCCCAAATGAACATGTTAATCGGATTAAATCCTTAGATAAATCCATATGGCAAAACAGACGTTGGGGGACAGCGTAAAAAATACAAAACGATTCTAATGTATTCGTGTGTACTTACATATCTATGTATATATGTATCTATACCTACAAGGTGTGGAATTTGAAAATTTAAAATTGCGCTGAAATCTCGCGAAAAATTAGCCGAATATTAGAAGGGTGTTTTACCCATTTTAGTTTTTTTGAAAACCTAAA